AAACTGCATGCATGAATAAATATTGCACTTAATGTGCATTTTTTTAATTTTCATAACATTGTTACAATAAAAATTGTAAGTGTAAATTTTGTTCATTCTCCGGCTCTGAAACACCCGAGCTTTATCATTTGTGACTCTTACAGTAAACAAGTTTGGCCATCCTTGCCTTAGACCATGGTATGGTTAAAAGCATTGCAACCCGAGATTCAATTTAATTCTCTATGGTTCCTGAAGCCTTCTAGGGAATGCACTGAAGCCACACCAGCATTTTTCATAATGCCCCCATTCACTCTGACTGGCTTTCACTCTACCTCCCATGCTTCTCTTCAAATGCACAAAGAAATCATATTAACATGATGTATTATTGAGAAAATCAGTAGGACCCATGAGGAGGATTCAAACCTATGCTCCGAGTACTCCAGTGTATAGTTTGGAAGTGAGAACATGGGCTCGAATCCTCCATGCGTCCTACAGATACATCACGTTAATGTGTACATTTGAAGACAAGCGTGGTAGATGAAATTCCTAGACTACAAGCCAGAGTGCATGGGGGCACTGTGTGAAATCCTGGTGTGGCTTCAGTGTAAGCTTCAGGAACCCTAGATGATTTAGTTGAATCCCAGGTAGCAATGATTTTGACCATGTCGTGGTGTAATGGCCTAAGGTGCTAACTTCGGAGTACTCAGAGCATAGGTTTAAATCCTCCTCATGGCTCCTACTGATTTTATCGTCAGTCAGTTTAATATTTTATAGAGAAATGCTTATATTTCATTATGTACTGGCAACTTTGTGTAAAGTCATTTAATCTTTTTACTTAAATGCATATTATTCATGCAGATGAATAATTCTTTGAAACTTTGAAGCACAAGTATTACTATTTTGCCTTAGAGGAACAAATCAATTAACTACCCATAAAATATACACAAAAATGAAAGATAATTTAAAAATGGCCATCAGATTTTTGAAATATTAAAATTGTTGATCATTTACATTATATTGTATTATCCATGTCGTGATCATGTTGGACATCTGACTTGTGAATACTAGATTAGCAAATGCATGCTAAAAAAAATATCCAGAGGATTACTATCCAATATAAAATTATTATACATAATGCTCTAGGTTTCAAAGTTAATGTATGTTCTCAAAGATATTACAATACCGTACCAAGTACAGATATGAACAATACTATTCTCTATACAACCCATAGGTTACACTACACACTTTCAATAGAAAATGTTATTTTGATCATACATATAGGGGTGTGAGTTCAAAGTACTGCAAATTAAATTATGCAATCCCCAAATAATACATAAAAACGAACCCAAAGTATCCCTATTGGGGAATACTTAATCAATAATATAAATTGCAATACTGTGGCTGTAACAAACACTAAACCCACATCACTAATGTGTGGGTGAGGGTTTATCCAATTCAACTATTAATGGTATAAAAATAGTTTATGTATAAACTCTAACTTTTTCAGATTCCTAAGGTAGGGAATATTGTGAAGATGTGCTCGTGTCCAAAAAATACATTATTCAAATGCTTAACAACGATACCTACAATATAAGCTCATTATGCACTGCTGATAATTCTCATGTGCTTCACTCATGTTCTTGTTAATTTCTATTTTTGGATTTACTAATACATCATCATTATTATTATTACCCAGTTCCTCACTTTCATGAGGTGGGGGACAGACAGGAAAAAGCAGGAAGCAGTATAGAAGTAGTTAAAAATACACTCATCCACTGACATATAACAATAATAGAAAATAAATACTATCAATTACTTTTAACATTAAGGACAAAACCCAAATTTGTTCCATCAATATTGTGAAATTTCTTCACATAGCTCGTAAACTTTCAATTAACCATGGCAATGCTGCATTGTTTTTAAGTTTGCATTTGTATTTTTTTTTAATACCTATATAAAATTTTCAGCTGCTTGCATACATATACAAAAATACATATTAGATTTTCATGAATTTCATGGAATATACCGGTACTAAACTTTAAGAGGACCATATTTGTATAGTATACAAAGTACTCTACATTCCCAATCGAATGAAACCTAATTCTATTAAGGCCAGATGCTACAAATGACTTCCAGTAGTTAATTCAACTACACTATATTTTTTTAATATTAAAAATATTATATTAAAATATTTATATTAAACCAGCATTGAATAACGAAACATCAGTTTCTGGACAGGCCCCCTAGGTGACTTCCAGTAGCTGGACACAATGAGATAGCTCCACCTAGTGGAGATGGCGCAGCCCGTCCTCCAAACAAAGATCCATAAGTGATTCCATGCACCCACCAACCCCCCTGTTTATGAATGAAAAACGGTTTACACACGACTCACAACTGCTGACGTTCGAACATATCCGGAACAAGTGCTTCACTGACGAATTTTGTTCGAATCACAACGCTATAAATACTTCACTCACGTACTACAAATACAAATAATCGCCAACAGAACCTAAACACCTAACCTAACCTATCCTATGCCTATATATACACAATATGCTAATATGTTATAATATTAATTTATACTAGCGAAAATTCCCGTTTTGAATGAACAGCATGTTAAAATTTATGAATGCGTCTGTGGGGTTGACCGCTGAATGTAATGGACTTGAGTCGAGGACGGGTTGGATGGTGAGTACATGAGCTATCAGTGTTATCATGAGCTGTCCTAATGAACCACAGGAACATTAGAAAGAACTTTTTTAGTTTCAGAGAAGTTAAGAAATGGAATGCACTAGAAAGTGATGTGGTGGAGGCAGACTCCATACACAGTTTTAAATGTGAATATGATAGGGCCCAATAAGCTCAGGAATCTCTACACCAGTTGAGAGGCAGGACCAAAGAGTCGAAGCTCAACCCCCCACAAGCACAATTAGGGGAGTACATACCAAAAACCATCAATAGTTTCAGAGTATCATATGACAAGAAGTCCTGGTAAGATGGTATAGTATGAGCATAGCTCTCATCCTGTAATAACAATTAGGTAATTACACCTGTAAGTCTCATCATATTTTGTAGAAGTGTAAGGACCCCAAAGTGCTTTAGTACACTTAAGTGTACTAAAGCACTTTGGAGGTGCTTAAATGTACTAAAGCACTTTGGGTGTGGGAAAGTCAATGGACTTTGAAAAAGACAAAGGCTAGTTTTCACTTGGTGACAAGTTTTGATGTAAACTACTTTTGAGTGCAATTGAGTCTTTCTGGATAAGCTACAGTAGCTCCCTGGTTCCTCCCTTCCCCACCCACTTCCAGGTGTGTCAGTGTCAAATAGTTCCTCATATGAATTACATCAGCCTTAGACATCCTTAATGGCCTACTGGAGACCAGGGCCAGCACTTGGTGCCCCCCCCCCCCCCTTCCTCAGAGGCATGGGATTGTCATGATCTCCCTCGCCAAGGAAATGTCCAGAATTGTAAGCAAAGCAAAACAAGACAACTGCAAGGTTTACATAAAGAAAAAGAAACAAAAGAGTAAATGATTCTGCAAACAATCCACCCAGCAGTTAGGTCACACCTAGTTCCAGCTAGCCACTGCCAGTACAAGGCTCTCTCAAGACTTGAGTCCGAGTTCAGAGACTAGACATGAAGATATTATAATTAGACTTGAATAAACTACAGTATTTTCCTAGTGTCATTGGTGAGGAAAATCGAAGGTGATTGCACATAACTTAAGTTGGAAATAGAGTATACTCATTTTACAAGGAAGTGTGACCAAAAAGATGCCTCTTACATTTACCAAGTTATCAAAATTTTTGTATAATTCCAATAATAATTACAGACTTAAAATATTTTCCTAGTGTTATTACTAAGAAAAATTTTCCTTAGTAATAACACTAGGAAAGTATTTCTACTATCTTTAATATTATTGAAATTCAGATCCTTCTGAAGAAGTATTATTAAATACGAAAGTACTTAAGGAAATTCCTGTTTCAATTTGTCCATCCTTGCCAACGGGCAAGGATGGAGGAATGAATAACTGGGTAAAAGTCGGAATAAGGAATACCTTTACGGGAGGTGGGACAAGTGTGGATAGCTTCCTTAGCAGCAGCGTCCGCATGTTCATTTAAAGAGACACCAATATGGCTGGGAACCCAGCAAAACTCAACTGTCTTAAATCTACTGGAGATAAGAAACAGCCAATGTTGAATCTCGATGACCACCGGATGGACTGGATTAAAGGACTCCAGAACCATGAAGGCACTGTGAGAGTCAACTACAACCACAAAGGAGGACTGACAATGAGAAAGCAGGAGACGAAGACCATAGAGAATAGCATAAAGTTCTGCCGTGAAGATGCTAGTCTCCGAAGGCAGGCAACACATATAGGTGTGGTCAGGATAAACAACAGAGTAGCCTACACTGTCTGCAGACTTCTACTCATCGGGTGAAGATGGAAACTGAGCGGGAATGTGAAGAAAAGTATTCAAGGAAAAGGCGTTTCAGAACCGTAGGAGGGGTAAAAGCTTTAGTGATGTGTGTCAGGGATTTACAATATTGAGGAAGGGGGACCCTCCACGGGGGCAAGGACGGAACAATACGAGGAGAAATATTAGTAATACAAACCGAAAGAGAACGTTGCAGGTGAGACAACCGGACAGAAAGAGCACAGTCCGCATTCCACCAGGGAACGCTCTTCGGCGTGCCCCGGGAGGTAGAGAGAGGAATAGAGCAGAGGGTAGCGTCGAAGACAGCGTCATGAAAAAGGAGGAGGGCGTGAGGAATAGGCAGAGAGGAGAGGTCAGAGAGAGTAGCACGGAGGGTGAATAGGTTCCAGTCAGCTTTGCTAAACTGCCACCTAGGGAGGAGAAGGGAGGGTAAAAAGAGAAAAAGGAAACAAGGACAGGGAAATGGTCACTGTTATGGAGGTCATCAAGAACCCGGTAATTCATAGTTCATCTTATAAATACAATTAGATCTGAGTTTGTGCAGTGTACAGTAACTTACAAAATGGTATTAAAGTAATTCATAGTTCATTTTATAAATACAACTAGATCTGAGTTTGCTTGTATGCTCCTAATTACAGTATTCCTAATCAACTAATTAACTTTTTATAGAGCATATAAATGAGTTCCATAATTATGATGAAGGTTGATTTATCTGGGAAAAAGATTCTGAATGTTTGTTGCTTGTATGTGAGAGAAGGGGACACCAAAATCAAGTTATTGTATTTGAAGACAATAACTTAAAATAATAAAACCGGGGTTTATATAAATATAAGAATGTGCAACTTATAATAACATATTTCTATATTTATGCTTGAAGTTTTCAAAACAAATTCTGGAAGCATAAAAATTAATCCATTAGAGGAATATAGGTACACAAATTAAATTAAAACACGGAAGGCTTTGATACATAATACAGTAACTCAGAGAACAGTGACAAAAGACTGAAAAAATACAATATTAAACAATAAAACACAGCTGATGTTTGCATTACTTCCAAATATTTAATAAGATTTAATAGATTTAATAACCCTGTGGACGACCTGAGAGACCCTAAGAACATGCAGCCCGAGTACCTGTGAATATTACTCCCAGCTCGCACACCACCTAAAAGAAGTACTGATCCCAGGCACAGCACAATAAGAATCTGGAGCTGGAGCCACAACGACCAAGCTGAGGAACTGAAGGTTGGGTCGCCAACGCAGGGGTCTGGGGCTCCCCCTTCCCCCTCCCGAGGAGGGGAGAGCTGCGCAGACATGAGGTGCAGCTCGTGAGGGACACCACGAGTGTAGCTCTCATCATGTAACTACACTTAAGTAATTACCACATTAACAAATTACAGAATGAAGAAATATATATACAGTATTCACTGAAAGTATAACAATGTATGAATTTCATCTTTTAGCTATAATGGTTAGTATTAACCCATAGACTACTGAATTAAATTACTCTTTACATGCATAAATAAAATTAGTGTCTTTCTGTATGTACTTGTTTTGACGTTATTATAACTGCAGACAATCTGCTCTTGCTGGTTCAAGAATTCATAAGCAGAACTTACTTTTACTAATTACCATTACCTTTGTGTTTCAAGCACAAAATGCTTATAAACATTATTGGCAGTTTTAGGGTTACTACAGGCATCATTACCCACACTTGTTACAACTTTTTCTTTTAGTTTAAAATAATTAAGATAAAATGTCATCACAATATTCTGAAACTCTTTTCATTTGATTGTAATTGAAAGTTAACTCCAATACTAATTTAATCTCTTACAATACACATAATTACTCTTCATCAACATATATAGCCATCTGAAGATCAATCTCCTGTTTCAAGATAGAGCCCAGAACAAACTCAGCATTATAAACAGCTGGAAAGAAAAGAAAAGAAATTTCAGCCCATATTTTAATATAATGTATTGCCACACCATAATTAAATATAAATAAAAGTGGCAATTTAAGTTCAGGGACATTTATTTAGACAAAAAAAAAATCATCTCAAAGGGATAGAATAGCTTAGGCTATTTTTATCCTCCTAAAAGTGGTAATGATATAAATATACTGAACAGTACTTGTTATTGCAATCATGCACACATCTTAAATCTGGTGGGATCAGAAAGCTATAAAGAATTATAAATATTAGCATAATAAGGAAGAATACACATACATCTGTACTGTACAGTGACAACTGTGTTGTTATTGACCAGACCATACACTAGAAAGTGAAGGGACGACGACGTTTCGGCCCATCCTGAACCAATCTCAAGTCGATTGTCGACTACGACAATCTCCCTTCACTTTCTAGTGTGTGGTCTGGTCAACATACTTCAGCCACATTATTGTGACTCATCGCCTGCAACTGTGTAGTTGTTACAAGTAAACACAGACTGATTGTCTGTCCAAGTGAAGCAGTGGCCTTGCCTGCAATGAAATGCTAAGTATTCTACATTCTTTAACCCTTAAAACTACATAAAACGTCATATGATGTATGACATTGAACACAGTTTTTAAATTTTCTGAAACTCTTTTCAAATGTTTTGTGCATAGGCAAATGATCCAACTTTGTCTTAATGATACCAGGGTAACTTGAAAAACGAGAAAATAAAAAATAATTATAAAATTGAATACTGTATTGAAAACTTCAGCTTTTGAAATCAGCTGCAAAAATATAACAATATCACCAACTGTTCATTTGGTGTTAATATGCTCTCAGAATAGCATATGATCTTCATTTTCATATATTTAATAGGTTTAATATAGGTTTTCAGTATAGTTTACTGTAAAAAAAATTGTCAATATGGCATTTAAAATATGCGCAAATTTAGACAACAAAAATTTATAACTCCAAACGATTAGAGTTTATGGAAAGTCAATTCTATAGGAATTGCAGAACAGACAGCTGTGCACACTATATGTAAAAATGGTGAGAATCGGTCAGAAACTAGATTTTTGGATACTGAAGTTGAAATTCTAGTTATAGATATAATTGAAGTTGAAGTTATTGACAATGAATAAGGCAGTTCTAATTCATGAATTTACTTGTATGTTGTAATAAACATTGTTTAGCATTAGTACTCAAGTATGTGAAAGTTGTAGGTCAATGTGTGTAGAAATGAAGTCAAGAAAAAATAAACCCCCAAAATACAAAATATAGCAATAATTATAATGATTTAAGGAATATATTTAGGGTATACTTTATGTAAGTAAAAAAACCAGCATTGAATGTAATGAAACGCCATTTTCTGGGTGAGCCCCGGAGGCTCCCTGGAACTTATTGGGCTAATGTACGTTATATTAGACCGGGACATTAGCTAAAGAGTTCAGACCTACCAGGGACCAGCGCCAGAACCTGGCCCCTTCAGAGAGGTTTCAGGGAGCAATGGCCCTGGAAAACCCCCTTGTGGTTTGGGTTTTCCTTATCTGCCATCGACCGGGGTTTGCACCCAGAAAGGTAGGCATAACAAAACAAATACCACATGGTAAAAACTGAAACAAAAAAAAACGAAGAGAGGTAGAAACTCCCTACAATCAGAAGCAAACATCACAATTTACTGCCGTGCCGATCGTCCGCGCAGCCCTCCCCGCCTCGAGAGGGGGAGGGGGGAGCCCCTGGTGTATATCCACTTTGTGGACACTTCTTACTACCATTCTTCTTTGTGCGTCGGACAGGTGCTTGCATCTCTTTATTATTACATTATCCATCAGTTCCAGTAAACAGCTGTTCTCTTAATCAACAAAACGTTATTTTTTTTTAATATTCGTATAAAATCAACTTCTGAAAATATTTTGATGAAAATTTCACAAAGCTGAAGCCAATAAGTTGGAGATTTGTTTAACATTTTTAAGTAATTGTTACATAATTTTTCATAATTTACATAATTTTACATATTTTTCTAATTATATCCCCCTTCAATGTCACATATCATATGACGTATTGCACAGTTTAAGGGTTAATCATTCAGCTATAGCAGTCTTCAATGGCAACTTCAAAATAACTTATAGGAGAAATTGCTAAGTTTGTTAATGACAAGCATCCGAGAATCACTCATAAGAAAATTTAAGTATTTTAGTAATTGTAGCTGAGAGCTATATAGCACTGTAATACAGGGCAAAGACTGACTCCTGTAATGCATAGTCATGTTTTTCCACCATAAGAAAATAAACATGTACATGCAAATATGTTCTTTTACCTCAGATTTATTCAGACATAGTCAAATCAGTACTTAGAACCTGATAAACTGTTTATAGTATCACTTACAATATGAACCAAACCAATAACCCAAATTTTTCTAGGAAATTTTTTGAATTGTTACAGCCAATGCCTTTATTATTAAATAAAATGTGGTTACAGCATTGTCAGCAAATCCCTCAAATGAATACAGTACAAAGAAAATCGAAATACTTACGCAAGTTTTCTTGAAGGAGGTCTTTAACTAAATGTACATCAGACTGTGCAGCAATAGTTAAATATTTGTTTACTCCATCTCTAAATAAGGGAAGGAAAGACAAAACAATTAAAATCTGACCATAGAATGTTTGGGTTGTATAGAGTACAGTATCATTATTTATTTACTTTCATTAAAGCTGACAGGCAATCACTGTCATTTAAGCATCTCTCTGTCTCTGTCTGTCTCTCTCTCTCTCTCTCTCTCTCTCTCTCTCTCTGTCTCTCTGTCTCTCTCTCTCTCTCTCTCTGTCTCTCTCTCTCTCTCTCTCACTTTCTCTCTGCTGTTTGTTTCTCTATTTTGTTACTTCGCAGTTGGTGGAATTAATTGCAACTTTTTGAACATTATAAAAATAGTTAATGCTAAGACAAAGTATGTTTTAAAGTAAGAAGTGGCCTTACTTGTTTTTCTCCTTAATATCATTTAAAGTGCGTCGCTTGTTTTCTACCGTACCACCAGCACATTCTATAATTTCACGTAGCCAAGTCCGTCCAGGAACTACAGAAGGTGTCAGGTAAAAAATTTTACCCTGAAAAAGAAATGCACAATCAATTTGTGCTTCAGTATTTCAAAAGGGTATTAAATACTAATGATGGGACGATGCTAAAATTTCTAACGATTCCGGCATAGATGCCGATCCCACAAAAAAGTCCAGAGTCTTATAAGATTATCGATTCCAAATTTGATTCTTTTTAAGGATAAAGTTGGGATACTTATTTTTCTGAAAATTTGTCTGTTTTAGTTTTGAAAAAGTAATGATTTACATTACAGTATGAGCATGGTAAATCCATTATTAATATACTGTAATAGACTGATTTAAGAATAGAAAACAATTGGTAAATGCAGCATAATCTTCTATAAGAAACCTGAAAAATGAAAACTTTCCATTATACATGCTTTATGTACAATACAATACAATAAAATTTGTAATCTTATTTCACCTAACATTAGTACAATATTGCAACACTAGCTCAATTAAAACCGTAGGTGCCAAAATCGTCAATAGTTTCAAAGTATCACATGACAAAGCTTACTGGGAAGACGAGACACCACAAGCATAGCTCTCATCCTGTAACTACACTTAGGTAATTACACATTAGGATTAATAAACATGACCAGAATCACTTAATATTTCAGATATAAAATAAGGAAAATGTTTGCAGATGATGAGTCACAATAACATGGCTGTAGATATGATGTCCAAACCACACATCAGAAAATTAAAACATTAAAACTTTTGGTCTGTCCTGAACCAATTTGAAGGCTAAACGACTTGATAATGGTCCAGGATGGACCAAAACATCATAGTTTCTTCATTTTCTGATGTGTGGTTTGGACAGTAAGGAAAATGTTTTCAATACTGTATACTACTTTTTTATTTGTGTTATATATAACTGAGATGAACTTACTGTGAAAAGCTGTCTCCTATTAAACTTGAGTAACGTCTCCCTCAGGCTGAATCTGAACACGCGCTCATATTCTGGCATATCCATAAAGTAATTATCTTCCACTGTTGAAAAAACATACGAGAGACAAATATTATTGGAAGGACTAGTAATTATTATATAAAAATAATCAATAATTAAATATTTATATAATTAAAAATTCAGTGCCCAAGAAAGCAGCCTCATCTAGAAAGTAATGAAATGCCTCTTTCAGGATGAGCCCCCGTGGCTCAGTGTGGCTGTCTTACTGAGATAGCTCCCAACTATTAGATCACATCAGCCACAGGGTTCTATTTGGTCTACCGGGAGTCATGAGCCAGAGTTTGGTCCCACAGAAGTGTAGAGGGTGGATGACACTTTCCTGCCCACCAGGAAAGCATCTAGAAAGTCAGCGAACCAGTACAGACCATTGCTGGGTTCAAAAGAACTGAAACTGCCAAACAAACTCACCAAACAATGTAAACAACAGAATCTCTTGAAACTAGCGCGAGCTCGTTAGCATTAACCTTCCCCCCTCCCTGCTAGTATGAGGGATCCCCGAGCTTCAGTCTTCTATGCCAGCCTTCTAAACCAGTTCTGGAGCAGAATTGAAGATGACAAACATCAACCAACGAAAATGGAAAGAATGGAAGGAATCAGAGAGCCACCAAGACTCTTCCAGAAAGAGGCATTTCATTACATTAACACTTTCGTTCAGGAGGGACGTATACGACGACTGTAATTAACTCTGCGGATGTTTGGGAGAGACGTCTATGACGTCTGGTTTTAATATATAGTGGCCCCCTCCATTTACGAATTTAATCCGTTCCCAGAGATGGTTCACAAGCAAAAAATTCGCAACCCGAAACAAATTTTCCCATAAGAAATACAGTACAGGGTCATCCTCAGCTGTGTCTTTTTGCTGTTCTTTTTGAAGGGCTTGGAGTTCTTCGGTGGTCAGTTCTTCGTTGTGTTCTTCCACCAACTCCTCCACATCAGCACCATCCAATTCCAAGCCCCTTTGTCAACGAGTTTTAAAGCACTACAAATGTTAAAATGGTGTTTCCAGAACTCTTTGAGGGGTGAAGTTTGTGGCTTCAGTCACTTCAAAACATTTCCGGAAAAGTGCCCTTTCATAAAGTTTCTTAAAATTCGCTATGATTTTCTGGTCCATAGGCTGAATTAGAGGAGTGGTGTTAGGAGAAAGGTACTTTACTGTGAGAAAATTGCTGTATCTGTGCAACAATTCATCTTCCAAGCCTGGATGATGAGCAGGAGCATTCTCGAGGAGAAGCAGGGCCTTGAGTGGCAAATGTTTCTCCTGCAGATATTTTTTTTATGGCAGAGCACACCACTTCATTCACCAACTCCGAAAAAAAAATCCTAGTCACCCATGCCTTTTTATTAGCCCTCCACATCACCCACATTTGGTTTTTTTGCACTTTATACTGTTTGAAAACCCTTGGATTTTCAGAATGATACACAAGCAAGGGTTTCATTTTCAAATCGCCACTCGCATTTGAACACAGCACAGGCGTAAACCTATCTTTCATAGGCTTGTGTCCGGGCAATGATTTTTCCTCCTTGATAATGTCCTGTCTCGTCACAATTAAACACCTGTTGCGGTAGGTATCCATCAGCCTCTGCAAACTCTTTAAATTCTTCAATAAATCTTTCTGCCACTGGTTTGTCTGAGCTGGCAGCCTCCCCATGCCTCACAACACCCTGAATACCACTTCTTTTTTTTTCAAACCATCCCCTGCTTCCTTCTTGAGGTTATCTTGAGATGATTTTGGGGCTTTAGTGTCCCCGCGGCCCGGTCCTCGACCACTCCTCCACCCCCAGGAAGCAGCCCGTGACAGCTGACTAACACCCAGGTACCTAATTTACTGCTAGGTAACAGGGGCATAGGGTGAAAGAAACTCTGCCCATTGTTTCTCGCCGGCGCCTGGGATTGAACCCAGGACCACAGGATCACAAGTCCAGCGTGCTGTCCGCTCGGCCAACCGGCTCCCCTTAAAGCCTTAAAGTCCATCGTATCTGCACTCGTTCCAGGGGTTTTCTTTACAAGGTCTTCGTGCAATACCCTGGCTTTCTCACAAATGATGGCCTCCGAAACACTATCACCCTTTAACTCCTTGTTGTGTATCCATATTAATAACAACTTTTCCACATCCTCAAGTATTTGTGGTCTTTGTTTCGTGATTGATGTTACACCTTTTGCTACTTTAGCACTCATAATGTGCTTTTTCTTGGCAAGTACTGTATAGTGCATATCGTTGACGTGGATTTGTTGTACTGCCAACAAAGTTCAACAACACGTGCACCATTTTCATACTTCCGAATGATCTCTTGTTTTTCCTCTATTGTCATCCTCACATGCGATTTCTTGCCTTGAACCTTACCACTGGCTTTCTTGGGACCCATTGTGAGATATATAATAACTTATATGGTCAAATGGCCAAAAATCCAACAAAACACTGAAAATCCAGGTGAAGAATTGACATGGGATAGTCACTGGGCGCGAGGCACTGGTAAACTGAGGAGTGAGGGGCGGAGGGGCGACGATCGCCGTACCACCACGCACTAGGTCGGCCTGTACGCATATCAATAAACTCGTGTTCCGAGGTAACCCTCGCCTTCCGAGGCACATTTTCCGAGCAAATCCTGCTCGTATTCCGAATGATGAACGGTGATGAATTGACGTATTGATGAATGATGAACTCGTATTCAGGGACACTCGTATTCCGAGGTACCACTGTATTTATATAATAAAATGTGTGAACCATTGCTGTACTAAAAATTATTGTGTTCGTATTAGTGATTCAATTATGTTCATAAAACAATAAACAAATAGTTTTGCTGTTATTACACTACAGTGTATATACACATGTTATATATACGTATCTGCAAGTTTTGTTCACCATAACAAACCAGTAAATTGGTATTGTGAGTCAAAAAGCAACGATGAGTGGCCTTCACTTACCAGCCAGTCAGCCACTCGCCACCACTCCCTCACCTCCTCACTCGCCAACATACTCCATCAACCATACTGTTTTTGCTTTTATTCACTATACACAGACATTAAATATAAGTATCTATATAATATGTTCACCATAACTTTACATCTAAGCTTGTATGGTGAGTTCAAGCAATAAGAGACATAGCTACACACACAGTCAGCTGGTGGCTGCTGCCGTCACTAGTTCAAGGCCAGACGCACTAATATTTCTCCTCCAACAAAACTGTTTGTGGTGTTATTACACTATATACAAACATTATATATAAGTATCAACATGTTTTATTCACCATACCTGTACAAATAAGCTGGTATGGTGCCCAAAGACCATAGTGGTCACTAGTAACAACATGACAAGTCGTGCAGACGACGTACCTCCCTCACCAAAATGGCGGCTCCCAACATACTCCTATTGCTGTTATTACACACTATACACTCTATACACACGTTATATATAAGTATCTACATTTGTGTTCACCATAGCAAACCACTAAACTGGTATGGTAAGTCCAGTTAATAAAAGGTGGCCACAAACAGTCAGAAAACTACGCCACCACCCTCCCTCCCTCAGCATTACTCCTTCCACCATGGAGCACAGCGCTAAATATCACAACAACCCTGTTATTATCAGAATCCTGGTCAGTTTCATCACAGTCAGAGGTCTTCTGTAATACTATCATCGCTCAATAATAGCATGTACATACAGTATATATTTTGACATTTTTAGGCAATGCTGTGGACACAAGCTGAACAGCGGTGCTGTGAGCTCATGCTGCGTACGTCAGCCTTGGTGGCTCGCTCAGTACTGAGGCTCACACACCCAGGAATGTTGGCCACGATTTTTTTTCTAGGTGGCATCTGCCAACTATCGGTCATGGCTGCACTATAGCTGCCTCTATCCCATGCGGGGCGTTTAAATTAAAGTGTTAGACACTAAAACTGCTATTAATGTACTGCGCGATATCGATAATGTTGATCAAATCATCTATATATGTATTGCACAGTCTAAGGGTTAAGGCAGTGTCTGGGATCCTCTAGGACGTAGGTTCAAACCCTCGTCACGGCCCTTGTGGATTTGTTCAAAGTGGAAGTCATCAATTTTAGGTCTCTAAAAACAAGACATGGCCAACTATAGGGCATCCAATCGGGTACAAAGCCTTTTAGTCATAGGTCCTCCTTAACACTGTCACAAGTCTGGAAGGTTTTATTGTTTTTTAATTCTAAAAATCATTTAGTAGCATGTCTTTACTTCCTTTCTAATTTACTGATGTGCCTCTTGAGATATGGACAACACAACTACTGCATATCCTAAATTTTAGTCTCACAAAGAGTTTCTTTAGTGTTACTCCAGCCTAATATTTTAAACATGATTCTGAAATTTATTAGCATGGTATAGGTTCCTCTCATAATGCCATTGATATTATCCTCTGGTGGCAGTTTACTATTCAGATCCACCCTTAGATCTCATTCTATGTCTGAGTTCTTCAACATTGTTTTATATAAATTTATAGGTTCAGTGTGGTCTGTGTTCCCCTGTTCCATATTCCATTATGTGGTATTGATTTACATTTAATTTCATGTCATGTGTTGTTCAATTCACTTATTTTGTCTAGGCCATTTTGAAGGGCATGACATTTCTCTAAGTCTTTTATTCTCCCAGTAACTTAGCATCATCCTCAAACACATTCATATAACTTTGAATCTCCTCTGGCAAATTGTGTGTGCATGAATACATGTGTGCATGTATGCTTTTGTGTGAAAATAAGTAAGCTGGATTCTCACATTGAACTATAGAAAATACTTACATAAAAATTTGGCTTCAGCATGGGAGTCTATTATCCACTGCAAAGACAGTACATAATTGCACGAAGAGATTGCACACATAAACTTGACGGTGCGTTGAGCTGTAGACGAGCCCATGACGAGATGAGTTGCTTCAACACTGGACCTGGCAAGGTATCCTCCTAGTTCAAGAATTTTCTGTAAATATAATATTTTAAATAAAATTCCAAATCTTCAATGGTCACCCAATCATTATTTTTATCATTCATTCATTGTCATTGCCTAATCGTTCACTTTAACTGTGCAGGAAGACATCTAAGCTAATGCAGACGAGGAGTCACATTAACGTGGCTGAAATATGTTGACCAAACCACACACTAGAAAGTGAAGGGACGACGATGTTTCGGTTCATCCTGAACTATTCTCAAGTAGATTGTGACGAGGGAAGGAGACGAAGGCAATAAATAGGCAAGAGAGAGGTGAGGAGAAGGAAATCTTATAGGAAGAAGACAGTAAAATCCGGCTGCCAACAACTAGTAGCACTGTGCTCTGCCTTACCTTCATATCTGAACTCAAAACTTTTACTAATACCTTTCGTCCTCTTGACATAAAGCTCGTCTTTCATCAAACTAACACACTTCGTAGCAATCTAGTTCACACTGCTCCTCCTGCTTCTAATGCTGCTGGTGTCTATTCTATTTTCTATTCGTCTTGTCCTCTCCAATACTTTGGTGAAACTGGCCATAGACTTAATGACAGACTTAAAAAACATAAAAGAAGTATTAAGTCTGAAGACACAAACAATGCTCTCTTCTGTCATGTTAGGGATTCTAATCATCCTATTGATTAGTTTTCCTCCAAAATCTTTCCTGCCTCTACTCTGCACAGACGCCTTGTTGAATCGGCTCTAATACACAACGTACCCAACATGAACTTGAGTCCTGGCTTTGTTGCTGTTGACTCTTCCCTTTCACAGTATATAATCAAATGCTCTAAACTTTCTAACAAACATGACCTAACATAAGTTTACCCTTCCATTTATCTTTCTTTCTCTTTCCTTTTCTTTCCATTCTTTTCTATTACGATCCCTTACTTATTCCTATTACTATCCCCTTCTTATTCCTATTACTTTCTCCTTCTAATTGGGTGGTTATAAATAGGAGCTGCCTCGTATGGGCCAATAGGCCTTCTGCAGTTACCTTTGTTCTTGTGTTCTTATGTTCTTATTCCTATTACTATACCCTTTATTTCACCTTACCTTTCGTACCTTTTGCCTTGCTCTTCTTCCTCTTAAGATTTCCTTCTCACCTCTCTCTTGCCTATTTATTGCCTTTAACTCTTTCCCTCATCACAATCGATTTGAGAATGGTCCAGGACGGATCGAAACGTTGTCGTGCCTTCACTTTCTAGTGTGTGGTTTGGTCAACACATCTAAGCTAAGTAAATTATGTGATAAATGTAATGAAACATCCTTTTTTGGGTTGTCTTAGTGGTTCTTTGATGCTTTGACTCTGGAACCACAAACATCTATAAAACTACCAGGCCTCTGGACTTACACAGGTCTACTGAACAACAGGAACAGAATCTAATGTGGACATACAGCTGGAAGGGGAATGAGGATTTAAGATTACCCTAAAACCAAGTAAACCCTCCCAGAAAGTACTTTTCCAAAAGATTTTCCCAGAATCGCATCAGCCAAGAACTGTTGGTTGGGTCGCTGGCACAAGGGATCTGGGGCTTCCCCTTCCCCCCCAGGAGGAAAAAAGGGGAGTTTTGTTGTTTACATGAAAACAACAATCATGCAAGTCAACCAGCAGGACCAAACACTAAGAACCAGAAGCAAGCAACAACTGAGCCCCAGCCTTAAACTAAGAGAGACTGGGCTGATACACACCTGGGAAAGCAAGAACTACCAGATCACAGAGAAACCAGACCATACCTGGAGAGGGTTCTTCTACTCCCTAAGCCCAGCCTGAGGCCAAGCTCAACCATGGACCCCAAGCAGAAGAAAAGCACAGCAGAGCATCCTAGAACAATTGCCAACTTGCAAACTGAGACACATACCTGTTGGTAGAAATGACCCTCTAGTCAAGACTAGGAGCACCATGGTGATCGTAATAGAGTGCACACAACATGGAAAAGGTGCTTCAAACCAAAAGATCAAAGATGGTAACAGTGACAGACAAATCACAGGGCAAACAGAGAAGCACCCAAAATCGCACAGGAAAGCACAACGGATTTTGGTTTCCTCTATGAAACAATGGAGCATACACAAGTACCATAAAGCCCTAAAAGCAGGCTACTTAGGCAAAAATAGGCTGCTGCACAACCACACTAAAGGCCATTGAGGAAACCAAGTTCTCCCACAAAATACAACCAAGTCAACAGTAGAAACTGGTGGCAGCACAGAAGAAACAATGTTCCAGAAGTCCAGAGCAGGCATAACCAAATCCATAATGGAACCAAACAGAACTTTGGTCAGTCAACATGGAACCCCAAAGCCTTAAACCCTTCAACCAAGAGAACCATGATGAGCTGGCTAGCAGACTGACTGAATGGGGCCCAAATCAAGACAGTCCTCATACCAGAAAATGTACCAGGTGCCAGGGACTAAGGAAGGAGCCCAAAGACACCCATCCAGGTCCAGAAGGATCATCTAAGTGAAGCAAAGGATAGGGAAGAAATTCAGAAAGCCCAAAGAAGGAAATAACCAATGCCCTTGTAATTCTCAAATGGGGGAACAGAAACTAACAGGACACCCACTAGTGTATTCTCATTATTTTACTAATCCTAATTCTTACCCTTTCTACATCATCTTTATTCTTCACACAAGACAGAAGAATGCGTGGTCTGTGCTGTTCTGCTGGTAATTCTTTGTTGATAAGCATGAGGTTTCCTCGAACACCACTTAAGCTGATGGTTCCTTGCGAGAGGCCACTGGGAGGAGTTTGAAGCTGCATTGAAGTAGGTGGTTGCTGAGGTGAAGGTGTAAGTGAAGCACTAAGATGAGGAGCAGGAGGTGGGTCTAAACGAGAACGCTTGTTTTCCTGATCACCTGTAACCACAATGATAAATATGAGTTTTGTCAAGAAGAAATTGTTGAACTGTTTCTTCTCAAAATATTATTTTACTTTGTCCCCATGTAATTCCAACCTTCACTAACCAATGGCTATGACCACCTCCTTTCGCCTTTCATTTGGTAAACGAAGGTGACATTTGGTTCTGTAGCATATAAGGTTTTGGGTGACAATATTCAGAGTATGATGGTTTTTTATGTTTACAGTATTTAATATAGTTTGTTTACAGCAGTTGGATGTTAAGAAATGGTATGGCAGTATCTTGATAGGACATCCTGATAGGACATCTGACAACTGAGTGCACAGCTCTTCGGATTCGTAGTTCTGAGGTTCCGGGATTGATCCCCGGTGGAGGCGGAGACAAATAGGCAAAATGTTTGTTTCACCCTGATGCCCCTGTTACTTAGCAGTAAATAGGTACCTGGGAGTTGCTACAGCTGCTACGGGCTGCTTCCTGGGGGTGTGTAACAAAAAGGAAGCCTGGTCGAGGACTGGGCAGTGGGGATGCTAAGCCCCGAAATCATCTCAAGTTAACCTCAAGAATATAGGTAGAGACAAAGATGCTTGTTACGAGCTGCTAGCAGAGTCAGGTAATTCATAGTTGCTGAAAATAGCTGAAAACGAGGAGTTTCTGTGAGGCCTTGAAAGACCTCAAATGAATCCGAGAGCAGAGAGCCAGAACAAGAGCAAGAGTGGAGAGCTGAGATGAGGCCAGTAGTGGTTTGTCTTCTCTATAGCAAGGCTGTAATGTCTGGTGTGGGAGTTAGAACTAGACATGGTTCTTACTTGAGACAGATGTAACTCATACCTTACCTTGAGATGGTTTCAGGGTCCTCGTGGTCAGGTCTTCGGCCAGGCCTCCTCTTTGCTGGACTGGTCAACCAGGCTGTTGGATGCAGCTGCTCGCAGCCTGACATATGAGTCACAGCCTGGTTGATCAGGTATCCTTTGGAGGTGCTTATCAAGTTTTCTCTTGAACAATTTGAAAGGTCGGCCAGTTAGGTCCCTTATGTGTAGTGGAAGTGTGTCGAACAGTCTCGGGTCTCTGATGTTGATAGAGTTCTCTCTCAAAGTACCTGTTGCACCTCTGCTTTTAAAAAAAAATAACCCCAGATGTGCCAGTCCCAGAATCCTGGAGAGGAACGTGCCAAGAAGTGACCCGGATGTCCAGGGACACCATCCAGGCACCCAGCCCCAACAGAAGCCGGACCGGAGACAACAGTCTTCCGAAGAGGGCAAAGAATTCAGGGCGCAGACTGCATAAGTCCAGAAGAACTGCAAGGCCCATGTCTGCACTAGAACAGGTGGGAACCTCAGAGGGATGGGGCAGAACGATCACATCCCACATTGATGGAACATTGGATTCTGTTCTCCCTTGGCTGTCCTCTCCTAGTTGTGCTTGTTGGGGTTGAGCTTTGGCCCTTGGTCCCGCCTCTCCGCTGTCGGTCGCTTAGTGTGCGGGTTCCTGGACCTGCTGGGCTCTCTCGTATCTACGTTTGACCCGGTCTGGAGTCAGACTCTGCCATTCTCTGCCTTTGCCGCAAGACGTTACTTCCGGTTGCACGTTACCTGTTACATGTTGCATATTACCGGTTGCGTCTTGCGTGTGGTGCATGTTGCTGGTGCGAGTGTGCATTGGTAACGTGTGCCACGGTGACATGTGGTACTTGTTACTGTGTCGGGATGTTGTGGGGTGACATTTTGCTGTAGTTTTGTGCCTGGGGTTGCGTTTTGGCTCTTTCATCCTGCCTCTCCCCTGTCGCCTGACATCTCCTGGGCTCTGTCAGGTCTGTACTTGCAGCTGTGTGTGGGGTCCGCATCCACCACTTCCCTTCCTCGTGCTTCTGCTTCACGCTGTTGTGTGTTTTGTTTGTGCCTTTTGGCCTTCCTGTTGCCAGGTTTGGGTTCCTGTTTTCCTGGCTTGCTCTGCCTGTGGGCTTTTTCAGGGTTTGCGGTGTTCCTTCTCTGGGGTCCCGCGTCGGACACGTAGTTTCCAATCTCCTGGCGAGCGAGCTCATGTTGGGGGGTTTTCTGTTTGGCAGATGTTTCATCTCCGTCTTTGCCTGCTTGGGTTTCCGGCTCTGCCTCCTCGGTGGTCGCGCCCGAGATCTTCCCGCGGCTCCGCCTCTTCCTAGGCTTGGATGAACCTTGACCGGGCTGGTTGGGTTCCGACTTGAGTCTCTCACCTTTGGTAGGTGGTCGGGTGGCTTCGTTCTTGGTGTCCCACCTGCGTGCTTTTCTTGGTGGCAGTATGGGGTATTTTGGCGGTCCTTCCTTTTCCTTCTGTTCCTTCTTAGATGGCTGTGTTTGTTGGCGTCGGCTTGGCTTTTCTGGTGGGGGTTGGGGCTGTTGACTTGCCGCATACTGTCGCCTCGTTTTGTGCGGCGCTGGCGGAGCCGCACAAAAAGAAAGCAAAAAGAAAGGTTTGCTTTCGGTCTTGGTAATTACCTAAGTGTAATTACCTAAGTGTAGTTACAGGATGAGAGCTACGCTCGTGGTGTCCCGTCTCCCTAGCACTCTTTGTCATATAACGCTTTAAAATTACTGACGGTTTTAGCCTCCACCACCTTCTCACCTAACTTGTTCCAACCGTCTACCACTCTGTTTACAAAAGTGAATTTTCTTATATTTCTCCGGAAGCTTTGTTTTGTTAAGTTTAAATCTATGACCTCCTGTTCTTGAAGTTCCGGGTCTCAGGAATTCTTCCCTATCAATTTTATCGATTCCTGTTACTATTATGAACGTAGTGATCATATCTTTTTCTTCTATCTTCTAGTTTTTGCATACTTGATGCCTCTAACCTTTCCTCGTAGCTCTTGTCCTTCAGTTCCGGTAACCGCTTAGTGGCATGTCGTTGCACCCTTTTCCAGTTTGTTGATGTGCTTCTTAAGATATGGGCACCATACAACCGCTGCATATTCCAGCATTGGTCTAACAAAAGTCGTGAACAATTTCTTTAGTATTTCTCCATCCATGTACAGTACTGTATTTAAAAGCAATTTTGAAGTTAGAAAGTGTAGCATAGGCTCCTCGCACAATGTTCTTAATGAGGTCCTCAGGTTACAGTTTTCTATCTAGAACCACCCCTAGATCCCTTTTTTTGTCAGAATTCTTTAAAGATTTCTCACATAATTTATAGGTTGTGTGTGGTCTATGTTCTCCAATTCCACAACATGGCATTTATTTACATTAAGTTCCATTTGCCAAGTGTTGCTCCATATACTTATTTTGTCCAGGTCTTCTTGATGGGCATGACAATCATCTAGGTTTCTTATCTTCCCTATTATCTTAGCATCATCAACAAACATGTTCATATAATTCTGTATTCCCACTGGTTGATCGTTTATGTAGACAATGAACATTACCGATGCAAGAACTGAACCCTGTGGTACTCCACTCGTGACACTGTGTTACAACTGCGCCGTTCGTAAGCTGTCTTGTGCATTGTTACACCTCCGGCCTGTTCTTGCGCCACTTGGGCCGTCCTGGTCTCTGGATAGGATGCTCTTTCTTCTCGTCGGTTGATGGTGGCCACTTCGGTTCGGGTTTGTTTTGATGGCTCTTTTCCTATTGGTGTTTGCCTCTAGGGCTCGAGTCGCTGAGCTTCTTGCTTTCCTTCGGTCACTTTGGTTTGTTTGGTTGCAGCCGTCTCCCTCTTTTCTGGCACGGGGTGAGGCTGCTGCATTCCGGGGGGTCCTTGGTTTGTTGGTGCTTGGTTGGTCGGGCCAGGGGTGCGTCGTGTTTTGTGTTCAGTTGCGGCCCTACGCTGTTGTTTGCGCGCCGCGGCTTCTGTGTCTTGGGTGCGCATTGAGTTGATCCAGTCCCTATCTTCCCTGTTCGTGGGTGAAGGTGTCCCGGGTCGTCTGCCGTGTTATTTCGGCTAGCCAGCCTGTGATCTTTGCCCGTGCCCATGGTGTTCGTGGAGTCTCTGTTCTTGTTGCCGTCTTGGCGGCGTGTTCTTCCTGACTTCAGGCACAGGGCTTTTTGGCACACATACAGGGGCCTGGCTGCTCGTTGTCTCGTGTCGTTCCCGGGCCCGTTCGAGCCTTTGTCGCTTTGGGTTGGCGGTTGCAGCCTGTTGTCTCGCTTTCCGTTAAGGGGTGCGTGGTGTTCGCCTCCCGGATCCGTCCCTTTGACCTTCCTCTGTGGGTAGTTAGCTCCGGGGAGCCGACGGGCTCCCTCCAGAAAACCAGCGTTGAATGTAATGAAACGCCATTTTCTGCTTGTGACCCGGAGGCTCCCCGGCAACCCTTCCTCCCTCTGGTCGGTGGTTTTTCATGTGTTTTGACATCCAGCCTCAGAACTGATGGGTGGATAGCCAGCGTGAGAGGTCTGGGGCTCCCCCTTTTCCCTCCCAGGGAAGGGGGAGTTGCGCAGACAGCGGCGCGGTGACGTGTGACGTCATACTTGTTTGCTTGTTTTTTGTTGGGGAGTTTTATCCACTACTTAGGCTTTTGGTAGCAATTTTCACCAGAATAGGGGTTTGTTTTGGGATGCTTATCTTTCTGGATGTTTGTCCCGGTCGATGGCAGACATAGAATGCTTTCAACCACACGGAGGTTTCTATAGGCCATTGCTCCCCTTGCCTCTCTAAGGGGGCTAGGTTCTGGCCGTGGTCCCCGGTAGGCCTTAAGAACTCCATACACATGACTGATGCCAAAGTCTGACATTAGCATTTCAGCCTGGTATAGCTCTGGGGAGCCGACGGGGCTCCCCCCAAAAATAGCACTGATAGTTTAATAATAATTCTGAATCCCACCCAAAAAGTTCTACCCAATGAAGCTTAAATTTTTTCCAATCAGTTTGGATATTAATTTGCTAGCAGTCATGATCAGTGCACAAAGAAGATGGAGAATCATAATTTGATTTTTTTTTATATTGCACCAAGGTATGTCATTTTCAGAGTCCTCTGGCTGACCTAGGAATTCAGATCCCAACCTAAATAAAAGTTACTCTTGTACAGAAAAATCTGCTCCATTCAATGGTGTCATTCAAAACCAAATTGGGAATGATGCATATTGAAATATTTTGAGATATATTGGCAGTGATATTAGCATGGATTGGTAGCTCAATGGCTACCCAAACTACATTTTTGATTACACTGTTGTATTCCACACCAAAAGTTGCCCTGGTATGCCAAATTTCACACCTCTCTGGGCACTAGTCGTGATTTAACAAAGGGTCAAAGTTGGTAATTTTGTGGTATTTATGTATTAATGGGGATGAGAGCCCATTCAATATAGACCTGTTATATAAGAACCAAAGCAGATTGTGCTCCAATATTTTGCAAAGTGTCATTTGGGGTCTAGGACTATCTTACTACAAAATTTCATGGCATTTGGAGAGGGTCGAGTGGGAACCATAGGTGACTTTTTGGTGATTTGAGATGGAATGACCCATTTCCTGTACGAGTAGTAGGGAAATGGAACGCATGAAGGAAGAGGTTATTAAAGCCAACTCTAGCCTCAGCTTTAAAATAAAATATGATAAAATGTTAATGTTGAAAGGGGTAATTAGCATGCCAGGTATGAATAGCTTGGAGGCAGGGCTTAAAGCGCTAGAGCTCACGTAGTCACCTATCCCGTAGTCACCGATAGGTAAGCTCACAGCTCTTGCTACTACCCACCTAGCACCAATAAATTCACTAATGTATACCAGCACACTTCTCTCTCTAACACCCACCTAAGCACCAACAAACTCACTATACCCATAAACACCTTGAAAGTGGAATGAGCAAGATTTCACTTGCTTATTCAAACTCTAGAATAGAGCAGCTTCCAAAGGAAACAAAGGCACTTATATATATATGGTGTATAGAAACAGAATATTTCCATAGTACATGGATGCCAAACAGAATACAATAATTATCACTTACCATCTGCTTCTGTTTTTCTCTTTCTCAATGCCATTTCTCTTACAGCCTTAGCTTTTTCAACAGATTCCTTTGACACACTTATTGGATACTTCCAAGCATCTGTAAGTGAAGGATAACAAACAAGACATTAATTCTTAAAAATTTGTTAGTTTAACCACAATTCCAAATTTTTCATTCACAGCTTTGGCATTGCATTTTTTCTATCCAAATAAACAATGTGAATAGGTAGTGGACTACATGCAGCATAGTTATACTGCATGTAGTCCATGTTGGAAATTTTTTTAGTGACTACTCACTAAAACGAATAGTTTTAGTGACTACTCACTAAAACGAATAGTTTTAGTGACTACTACAGTAGTCACTAAAACTTACTAACAGTAATGTTCACATAAACTAACCATTATATCTACATATGGATGCTGGAATTCTTACGAAACCAAGCACCAGGATTGCGTCAGATTATACCTAGTTAAACACATTTATAGCCAGTGTACTAGAGAATTGAATGTGATTCTCTAAAATCATCAGTATTCCGTGTGATAATTAATTATGGATAACATAACTCCCAAATAATTCTAAATTGAGAGTTTTAGTTACAATTGTTATCAAGTAATAGTTTTTCTGTCACGCGTGAATGCCATGGAGAGAACTAAAATCTTCTCCATTTCTCGTTTACCACCATAAGACGAGAAAGTAATAATATTTAAATCCCTAGAATCACAACCCAGTCTTTATTAAAGTATTTCAACCACGATTGCGCGAAATAGTATTATTCGTGATAAATAATTTCGGTGGTGAATGCGGGGACGTGGGTTGAGGGAGGGAGACGCCATTGTGTGTGTGTGTGGCGAGCTCGTGTTGCGGAGTGAGCAACGAGAGCATACGTATTTGAACGGGAAGTCGTGGTGTCAGAGTCTGAGACACGTGACGTTGGGATTATCAGCAAGAATTACACCGGTACTCAACCTTGAACGAATAATTATTCTTCTCCGTGATCTACAGTGCTCGGTCAAATAATAACGCGTTGATATTCAAGCCAAACTCTCAACCACATGTACTACATTGTAGAAGTTTGAGACTGAGACGCAATACCGGCAGACTTCAGCGTACATTGCACCCGTCGATAAGTATATATTTCTTTCTTGATGCATCATTAGAGATTGTATATTTCGTGGGCAGTCTGTCGTTACATCGAATGACGACTAAAAATCCAACATTAGTACCGCACTAATCTTTATTTTCTATTTCATAAATATTGAGATTTAAGTAGCCTAGTTCAATGCTACGTAATATCCTTTAAATTACAGCTCGTATGTGAGGAGTCAACGAGCCGTTAACTACATTCGTGTTATTCACCTCTAAGGGCTTCTATGTGGGGATCCTGAGATCACGAGGACGAGGCGCGAACGATGTTATAGAAATCGTCTTAAAGCTAAGACTTTTTGTACACATTTAATTACTCCGATTTATTCTACATGTTCCTGATATTATCATATTGAATGCTTGTCATGTGATCTGGAGATAAAATGTGTTTATTTAGATGATTGCTCTCTAATTCTAATAATCATTAATATTTTCTATTTGTATTTACCTATTGATTCTATAATATTTTGGTCACAATATTCTTTATTCAACAATGAACTGGTGCACGAACCACACTAGTTCCTAGACGTATATGAAGTTCTAGCAATACCCCCCCAATGTAGGTGTTTGAGGCTCTGACTTTAGTTAATTAACCATACAGTCCATTATTTATTTAAGTGATTATTCTTTCTAATATTTATCCATAGACACTGGTTCTTCCTTGTGTTTCTAATGATCACTTTTTATTAGTTTCCCTCTTTTCTCAAAAGTGGGTGGTCCTTCGTTATTAATTTCATTAATTAAATAATTAAATAATTGAGTCAAGCCCCAGATATCCCACAGTCCACTACCTGTTCACATTGTTTTTTGTAACCTAATATCTTTGTATACTAATTTTTTTTTTTTACTATAGTGCACCAAAATTACTCATAGCTCAAAACCTACTGAAAAGATGGGACGCTAAGGAGGGATCTATTCGCAGAGGGTCGTCCAAATAATGTTGATAGCGAGTGCCGTGGTAGACCAGCGGAGGAGTGTTCTGACCCAACAGTACCTCACTCAGCCAAACACCATTTACAACTGGGCGTTTCCACTCTCGTGCTTTGGCTACTTTGGCTCCTTCCAATCTGAAAGTAATAAATGTCTATAACACTAAATACATTTTAGCCAAAAATTTTATAGCTCCTATTCTCAAATTAAAATACTTGAACATTTAATTTAGGCAGGTATGAGCAATCCCAAAATATACAGAGAAATCACATTAAAGTGATATATCAATGAACAAATCCACAGAAGCCTTGATGAGGGTTTGAACCTATGCGCTGGGTGTTCCAGGTTCATTCTAGTTGACTGCACCACAACATGGTAAAAGAATTGCAACCTGGGGTACTACTGCACCCACAAGGGTCCCAAGGCTTCCACTGAAGCCTAACCAGGGTTTCAGACAATTCCCCCATGCACTCGGGCTCTGTCAACCAGTAGTTTTACCTCTGATGCCCCTCCTTCAATACACAGAGAAATAACATTATCGTGATATAACATGCATTAAAGGACAGAGGAAAGAACTACTGGTTGACAGAGCCCGAGTGCATGGGGGAATTGTCTGAAACCCGTTAGGCTTCAGTGGAAGCCTTGGGACCGTTGTGGCACCAACAAGGGTCCCAAGGCTTCTCATTTCCTGTACTGTCCCAGGTACCTATTTACTGCTAGGTAAACAGGGGGCATCAGGGTGAAAGAAAAACTGCCCATTTCTTTCCGCTTCTGCCGGGGATCGAACCCGGACCCTTAGGACTACAAACCCCAAGCACTGTCCACTCAGTGTCAGGCGTATTATATAATAATGATGTACTGTTTTCCTGTTAATTATTAACATGTATCTTGTGTATTTGTTTCACTATTGTGATTATTACTGATGTTGATACAGTAATGTCTTTATCTTGTTCAGACGTCTTAGGTTTTCATTATACTGTACGTACAGTATTTATTATTGCTATTACAGTACATGCAAAGCCTGTAGCCACTGAAATCTAAGTTTCTTTGTGTAATGTATGATGAAGGTATGATCTGTAGGTCTAAGATAATGACTATTTATATGTATTACAACAATTTATAAAAGTAAAATATATGAATCAAAGATATTACAGTACAGTACTTTATTTACATTTAAATTTCTCTTTTTCTTTCTAACTTAATCAATTGACTTTTGGCTCCAATTCTGAATCTGCCTGGGTGTCCTTGACAATTTGTTTGAAAACATTGGAGATTTCTGTGCAGGCAGTTAGAAACGATTCTCTGTGCTCTGCTGGGGTTTTATCAAGAATGGCGATCATCTTCAAGACAGTAATATTATCCTTTTTGCAGAACCAGTACACATGAGTGGTCTCTGGGACCAATTCTCCTGGCATTATTTGACGTGTTGGCACATTTACTGTGTATGGTTGCTGAACATAGTTGGAACTGGAAGCTCTGGTGGTAATCTACTTCCTTGTTGCATTCTGTGCACATCTATACTAAAGGCATTCTGACCATAATGCTTCTGGTCAGTGGTAGTGGTTGTTGACCAATGGTAAAGGGGGGGGGAAAGCAATCCTTCACAGCCTACCGAGTGTGTACACCGATCAAGCCTCGTGACCCCTGTACACAGGGTCTGGTGTGTGTGTTGCCTCACTATTCACTGAATTATACATTCTAAATTTTACACGTGGCAATTTTCCTACACTTTCAAGCCTTTATGCCTGTTTTGTTACCGTTCACTATTCACCGTATCACTGTTCACTATAATCTAAGTATACCGTGGTAAATATATGTAAACTTGGGCCTCGTGTAGGGCCTTGTTTAGGCACTACGCTTCCACGTGGGCTGGTGAGAGGTGGTTATTCCTTATTAAACATAAAGTTCTATTGGCATCACTGTATTTTTTCTTTCCTAAATGTGGTTTTACACTTTGTGATACATGTGATCCGTGTTCTATCACTGTAATCCTAATATGACCGAGTATATGGAAGTTTATTCACGGAGCGCGCAAACCCACGACCCTCCCAAGCACAGACAACTGGACACTGTCAGTTGTAAATACAGTATAAAGTAAATATATAAAAAAGTAACTTACTTTTTGCAGACAAGGAGACTGTTATGCCTGGAGAAGTATCCAGTATATTTAGCTCCAACAAGTTGCAACATCAACTTGATAATGGTTCTCTCTTCGTTCTCAAATCCACTCACGCTGACAATCAAATCTTTGCAGGGTTTGTTGTCATTACTGGGAAGAAATAAAATAATAATAAGAAATAAAAAATGGAATTATGAATACTATTATTAGACATAATTAAATAGAGAACTGTATTTTACAAGAGAGTAAGATCTTACCCAAATGGTGTAGGAAGATGTATAGCTTGCCAAGGTGGAGCCATCTTGCCTCTTAAAAGAACATCATTAAGCCAGAATATAGTTATACACCGTTTGTTTTCACGAACAGCTTGCATGAACACAGGTGATTTCTGATGCTTGCAGAGTAAGTGAGTAACACGAGCAGATTCATAGAGAGGCATTACCTGGCATTAAAGGAAGAGACAATTAGCCACTTCTAACATTTTTTACCTGGCCCCCCCAAAAAACCAGCATTGAATGTAATGAAATGATAATTTCTGAACAAGCCTTTGTAGCTTCCTTAAGGTATTACACAGATTCAGTGCCATACTAATTGGTGCCATCAGTCACAGAGTTCTTGTTGGCCTACCGGGGACAACAAGCCAGAATCTGGCCCCCTTAGAGGTGTACCTTACCTTGGAGTTACCTTAGAGTTATTCCGAGGCTTACGTCCCCGCGGCCCGGTCATCGACCAGGCCTCCTCGTTGCTGGACTGGTCAACCAGGCTGTGTGACGCGGCTGCTCGCAGCCTGACGTATGAATCACAGCCTGGTTCATTGAAAATCAAATTTGAAAATCAAATCATCTCAAGATAACCTCAAGATGGTTGATCAGGTATCCTTTGGAGGTGCTTATCAAGTTCTCTCTTGAACACTTTGAAAGATCAGCCAGTTATGTCCCTTATATGTAGTGGAAGCGTGTCGAACAGCCTCGGGTCTCTGATGTTGATAGAGTTCTCTCTCAAAGTACCTGTTGCACCTCTGCTTTTCAACGGGGGTATTCTGCATATCCTGCCATGCCTCATGGACTCATGTGGTGTTATTTCTGTGTGCAGGTTTTCGACCAGCCACTCTAATATTTTCAACGTATAGATTATTATGTATCTATCCCGCCTGCGTTCAAGAGAATACAGATTTAGGCTCTTTAGTCGGTCCCAGTAGTTTAGATGTTTTACTGAGTGGATTCTAGCAGTAAAGGATCTCTGCATGCTCTCCAGGTTAGCAATTTCACCAGCTTTGAAAGGGGCTGTCATTGTGCAGCAGTACTCCACTCTAATGAGCACTAGCGTCTTGAAAAGTATCATCATCGGTATAGCATCTCTAGTGTGAAAGGTTCTTGTTATCCAACCTGTCATTTTTCTTGTAGTTGTGACGGCTACTTTATTGTGTTCTTTGCAGGTAAGATCTTAAGACATGAGTACACCCAAATCCTTTACAATGCCTTTTCGTTCTATGTTATGATTTGACTGAGTTTTGTATGTGGCTTCCGTTTTTATATTTTCATTTTTTCTGTAGCCCATGAGCTGGAACTTATTTTCGTTAAACACCATATTATTTTCTGTAGCCCATAGAGAAGACCTGATTTACATCTGATTGGAGGTTTGCTGTGTTCTCTATGTTATCTACTCTCATGAAAATCCTAGTGTCACCTGCAAAGGATGATATAGTACAGCGGTACCTAGGTTTAACCCTTAAATTGCGCATCGCATCATATGATGCTTTGACCGACTTGCAGTAAATTGTGCCTTGCATCATATGATGCTTTGGAGTACTACGCAAGATTTAAACGGCCCGCAGATACACGGGGTTCACCACACCTTCATCAGGGCTCTTGTAAACAGACGCCATTTTTTTTTTTAAATCGTGGGCCAAATTCCTGGGTGTTAGGGGCCTCAGTATTGAGTGAGCTACCAAGCCTGATGCATGCAGCATGAGCTCACAGCACTGCTGTTCAGCTTGTGACCACAGCATCGCCTAAAAATGTCATAATATACTTGTTCATTCTATTATGTAGCGATGATATTATTACAGAAGACCCCTGACTGTGATAAAACTGCAACCCATTCTCGCACATGCTTACAGTTAATATTGGCTTATTTAATAAGTGCATATGTGACATACTAATTGATTGTGAATATTTTAGTTTACCTTGAAAAGCTTCATAGAAAACACCAACCTCACCTAACCTTCTTAGTATGTTAAGATAAGCATCTTATTGCTTTTTATTTACAATTATTACTTACCCTATCAACGGTATAGTAATTTTACCCTATCAACGGCTAGTAACTTATTTTATAACTAATGCAACTAGCGTTGCATTAATTATTAAATTTGTATTATTGCATTACAGAAGACTACAGTATACTGTAGTCTTTTGACGTAAGAAAAACCTTAAAGATCAAACCGTAACAAGTACTTACTTCACCCCCATGCTGCTGTATGACCCGCTTCCATGTGTGTAGTGTCTCCAGTGTGACCTCCCCATGATAGTCAGCAATATAAAACACGCAGCCAACCAGGCACAATTCACGCGGCACTGTAGTTAAGATTTGTTTTTAAATACTGCACATGTATTTCAATCAGAACAGTCTTTTTTTTTTACCAAATAATTTTTTTTTATTTATTTTATTTATTTATACAGTATACACAAGAGTTCTTACTCTCTTGTACAGCCACTAGCATGCGTAGCATTTCGGGCAAGTCCTTAATCCTATGTTCATCGAAATACGACCCTACCAAATCGTTTAACAACCAGGTACCCATTTTACTGTTGGGTAAACAGAGGCTACATTTAAGGATTGGCGCCCAGTAAATCCTCCCCAGCCAGGATACGAACCCAGGACGAAGTGCTCGTGAAACGCTAGGCGAGGGTTTTAACCACTACACCACATGGATTGTTCATGTGTGTGTGTGTGTGTGTGTAGTTCACGTGTGAACTAACATACAGTACTTAGTTCTGGGTATACTTTTGGGTAAGTGGGCATGCAGGCATGTGGGTAAACAGGTGGGTGGGCAGGGAAGTGGGTGAACAGGTGGGTGAGTTGGCGAGACTGGAACAGAGACAAATGACACGTGTGATCTCCTGCCTGGTCCCCCCCCTCCACCTCACGCCAGCCTTCCCATCTCCCCTCCACATGTGTCGACACGTGGGTGTTGACACGCTGTACGAAGACTAAGATATGCGCCTTAAGTTCTGTTAAATCCCATTTTATTTTATTGTAAATATTTAAATGGATAAATAGCAAACCAAATACTGTACTGTTCAACT